GAATTGAAATTTGATTTAAACAAACTTCTGACTGTGAGGCTATATTAAATTTTATCTGTTGCACTGAGTTACCATTAGTTATTAGGTGTACCCAATTTATCAAAATAACAACATATATTACGAATTTGAGAAAATAGTAGTAAACATGAAAAAATGCAAAACAAAAGTGTATTGGGAAAACATTACTTATAGAAATAATTAAGGTTTTAAAAATTCATTTACATGTCTGTGGATAAATATTAATTACTGCTAGAACAAGATAATATTCAGCATCATTTTATTCTTATTTTTAATTTTTGTTTATAGTAAGTATTAAAGAACTATGATTACAATAAGGAGTCAGGAATAGGAGTCTGTTATCACAATATCAATCAATTGCTTGAACTCCTTTTGAGTAAAGGGCCAAAAATTACATAGTGTTCTATTCCCAAAATAATTTTTAAATGATCTATAGCTGATAACTGGAGCATGTCCTCCTTCAATACTGTTGAAAGCAAAAATGGGGATGGAGGGAGAGATCTCCTTCTTTAGCTAAGATAAAAGGCAATTGTCCTAACAAATCTGGGCAAGAAGAACCAGTAAGAGTTAGCCTGCACCTCAGGCACTTCTTCCAAGTCCATCAATTTTAGGAAGGAACACAGGATTGTTGAGATTTTGGAAGTGAATTCTTTTAAAACTTTTTGTCTATGTAGTCTTTGGTGTAAACTCCAGTTTGAAAGCTGCTTCAAACAAGAGTAAAGACTTTAACTTGGCTCCAAGCCATTATCCAGAGTTTGGACCTCATTTGGAACCTAGGGATGAGCTACTGAAAGTCTGTGGACTAAAGACAGTGACATGCTTAGTATTGTACTTTAGGGAATAAACAGAGAATGGCTGGATTCATTCATTCATTCAACAAATGCACTATTCTGTGTAGTGTGGACTCAAAGAAAACAAAGTCTTTGCCTTCATGGAGTTTACATTCCATTGGGGGGAAAGACAGATAAATGAATAGAAATGCATAATGTCAGTTAGTGATAGATATTATAAAAACTGTAAAACAGGGATTATTCTAGACAGTGTAGATGAAGGCCCTGTTTTACCGAGCTTACATGCTAATCCTAAATAAATGAATCAATAGCTTAATTTCAGGTAATGATGAATGCTATAAAAAAGTTAAGTGTGTATATATGTGTGTGTGTGTGTGTGTGTGTAGGGTAAGGAGTTTAGTTTTTAGAAAGGGTTGTCTGAGAGATGAGACTGATGCAGGCAGGCTGGGTCCCGAGGACCAAGAGGGGGTCCAGCAGGACCAGCCAAGAGGGTCCTTGCTAAGCACAGCAGGATAGAAATCAAGTGTGAGCCAGTAGGAAGTGCAGCAGAGTTTATTGAAGATATGTAGAGAGTGCAAGTACAGACAGTGTCCAGGAGACTTGGAAAACAAAGGAGAGAAAGTCTCTCCTTTGTTTGGGGTCTAGGGTTTTTATTGATGATTGTGGTCTGGTGCACGTGTCCTCTCAGGCATCTAGAAGTAGTCTGAATGAGGACAGGGTCCAGATGTCTATCGTAAGTCACTGATTCCCTGGAGCCAGGAGGTCTTGGTGTTGAGATGTCTAGTGCCAGTGGTCTAGAAAACACACATGATGGCCTTGCCTGGTCATTCCTACCCAGTCATTCCTGAGATGTTATCTATTGTGCTGGAAGACTCCAAAGAAATCATTAACTCCTTGTCCTTTACAAGGAGGACATACATTAAGGCAAGTGTGTGTGTGGGGGGGGTGGGGTGCACATCCTAGCAAAGAACAGAAGGAGGAAAAGGAGCTAAAAAGCCAGTTTTTCCCCCCATGGGTTCCCTTCAGTTTCCCTATCTCACGATGACATTTTAGGAGCTCTGGGCCTCAACGTAAATAAAGTGACAAAGTTTGCCACGTGACCGTCTATCTCTGTGAGAAGGGTGAAGGAACAACAGTGTGAAGGACAGAGACAGAGTATGCTTGATGTATTTAAGGAAAAGGAAACAGCCCAGCTGGAGCAGAGTGAGAAAGCAGAAGTAGGGAATGAGGTTGGAAAGGTAACCAGGCTCCAAGTAACAGTAGGGTCCTGAGGGCGTGGAAAAGACTGCTTTTTATGCTGAGGACAGAGAAAATACTTTGCACTGGTTTATGTATTAAAAGGATCACTCTGACTAATTTATGAAGAATAGAATGCAAGAAGGTAGGATTAAAAAGTCTTGGATTAGGCTGGTAGAGGAGGATGGTAAGATTAGAAGCAAGGGGAGATTGGACTAATAATGATGTCCGACGTCTGTCTAATGAATGCTAGAGTTACCTAATAAAAAGAAGAAAACAAATTCTTAAGACACTGTGGAGGCAGAGGAAGTTGGAAACCAAATACAATGGCAGTATGGTTGGAGAGAATGGGCAGCTTGGAAGCTCTGAAAATTGGGAATTAGGAGGATGGTGGTGTCACAAACTAGATCCCAAGACCTGACCTTTACTGCTTATATTCACCTCCCTCTGTCCTACATTTTTCCTTAAGCTCTTCCTTCTGCCTTATATCTTAACTCAGGCAAATGGAAAGCAAAACTACCCCTCAAGCAATAGCAACTGCCCCGACAAGACCTCCAGCCAGCCCAGACCACTCAGACCAGTTTGAACGTAACTCCCTATCATGTATCTGCGCAGGTCACCATGGAGTGGCCTCTAGAATGACCAATAATTACCTTTGTCTCATTATAATACTAAACAATGCATGTATAGGCATGTTTCCTTAAGGTGCACTGCGTGACCTTATGCCCACCTCTATATACAATAATAAGGATCCCCTTTTAAAATATTCCTCCTAAACCTAAATAAAAGGAACCCATTCACCCTTGCTCCAAGAGTCACGGCTTTGGAAGTTATTTCCTATGATGTCCTTATTTACTGCAAATAAAGTTCCCTTTGTGCAACAACTCAACTGGTGTAGTTTCTATCTGTGACCCAGCGAGGAGTGAACTCACGTTGGTTCGGTTACGGTGATACCATTAATTGCAATAAAAGAAATTAAGATAAATTTGGGAGATGAAGGGGCAGATGGTGGATTTTGATTATGTTGAGTGTATCTCCATATAAACCATAAAGTTACAGATAGATAAAAGTGGACGCCACTTTCACAAGTCTGAAGGAAAAAACAATGGGCTATTCTTTTGGGGGAAGTTACTATGGGCAAAAATGCCCACACACTAGTGGGAAATCAAAAGCCTGGTAGATTTATTTGTAAATTCCTTTTAAAAAGGTCGCATAGCATAGTATATAATAGTGGCTATTGAGCTTGACTGCCAAAGTTCAAATTCCTGGTACACCTTTTTCTAGTTGTATGACTTTGAGTTAGATCTCCTGGCCTTAGTTTCTTTATGTGGAAATTGTTACAATAGGACTTATCTAATAAGGTTGTTGTGGAGCAGGAGTTCTTAATCTGGAGTCCATGAAATTTGAGGGCATCTGTGAAACTTGAATTGAAAAAAATTTAACCGTATTTCTATTAACCTCTTATGACAATCTTGTTTTCTTCAATTATAAAGTAGAAAGCAAAGCATGGTAGTATTAGCAGTACATATGGCTTTGTTCCCTGCAGAAATTACAAATAATTTCATATCACAGTACAGTAGTAGTAGATATTTTGAAATAGTTTGTCATATTACCATATTTATTCAAATTGCTGTTAGATACACTGCTAGATTTCATATGATTGCAGAATTTATTTTCAGCCCTCATGCTACTTAGTTGGCCACCTATCCTACAGTTCTGTGCCTCTTGGTCAATCATAATCACACTGAAGTCTGAATGTTTATACATTGGTTCTAACATCTACCCTTGCTTTCCAGCTTTCCCCAAATACAAACCACCAGGTGAAAGGAGGTGAATTGTTTGAATTTTGATAATGGTAATTATAACTGATTCCTTTGTAATCTTATGAATTTAATTTTTGCAGTTAGAAATACTGTTTTAAGACTGGGCCAATAGGTTTTATTACACGATCAGAAACGTTCATGATAAAAGAAGAAATCTTGAGGTAGAATAAAAGCTACATTAGAACAATAATGGAGGACAGTTGGAAGAAAGGCAGGCAGGAACAAGCCCTTACCCCCTCCCCACCAAGAGGAAACCACCCTCAAAAGGATTTTACATCACCCTGAAAGGAGCCCTCCACCCTTTTCCAAGTGATAGGTAGATGGCAAAAACCTGACTGGATGATGGAGGGTTAATCAGATTAAAACCGCCCTCCAACAAGCCCATAAAAAACCCTTAGATCTAAACGCCAAGTTGGCAACCCTCTCGGATCCTCTCCCTCTTGGGAAGCTTGGTACTGTCACACAATAAACTTTGCTTTGCTGCCCTCCACTCTTCCTCTGGTCTCCCTCGTCATTCTTCCAAGCAGCCTAACCAAGAACCCGGCACTGAAGGAGAAGAAATCCTGTAACAACAGTACTTGACCCATAACAGATAGGTCTGCTGCTATTGTTCTTAAAATGTTCAGAGAGCAGGAATTAAAAGTCCTTTTCATTTTTGCATTCCCACTTGTCTAGTCCAGTGCTCTGCACTTCGGTGCTCCATGGATACTGAATGAATGGGAAGGAGTGGTGTGAAGGTTGGCTCCTCAGGCCCCTCAATTGGGACTGCAAGGAACAGCTGTGAAGTTGCAGGCGGCTAGTACGCATCCGCGGGATTATACTACGTGGATTGTATTAGAGGCTTGAGAGGGCTCAGTATGTGAGCCACAGATGTGTCTCTAAAAACCTCCCAATGGAAATGGAGATTGCCCCTTGGCCACAGGAGCCATGTGCTTATTAATTCCTTAAATCGCTCCTCCATCATCCTAGAAGGCAATTAGGTCTGTGGCTCCAGGTAAACAGGAGTTTACTTCTGCAGGACTGAAGAGGCCCCTCGCATATTCCCGGAACCTCGCACTGGTTTCAGTAACAGTACAGCGTTCAGCCGGCCAGCTAGAGAACCGTGGCCCCGCGCGGCGTGGGTCTCAGGGAGAACTCTGGCCGGGGGCGCAGCGCGCCGTGCACGAGGCCCCCGTTCCCTCGCCACGCCCACTTCCTGCCCCATCCCAGGCCTTTCCAGGTCCCCTCTCCCGGTGAACCGGATGCTCTGTCAGTTTCCTCCTCCGCGTCCTCGGCGGCCTCCGCTTGCCTGGCAAAGCCGCAGGCACCCCCGAGGGCACGGGCAGGGGCTCCCGGCGGTTAGCCTGGCAGGAGTAGGACGCCGGTAGGAGCTGGGCGCGCACGGTTACCGAGCGTGGAGGAGACACTGCCCTGCGGCGATGGGTGCCAGGGGCTCTCCTTCACGCCGGAGGCAGGCGGGGCGGCGGCTGCGATACCTGCCCACCGGGAGTTTTCCCTTTCTCCTCCTCCTGCTACTTCTCTGCATCCAGCTCGGGGGAGGACAGAAGAAAAAAGAGGTACAATGAATCTCTTGGCCTTCCGGGTGGGCCCAGGCTGGCTAGGGCGGGCCGGGGGGTGGCGTTGCCAGGCAGCCTGGCCGCGTTGCTAGGCAGCCGGGCCGCTGGGCTTGGGCGAGGGCGGCCTGCGGGCAAGAGCCCCGCGGTTGGGAAGCCTGTGGGCCACGCAGTCGCGGATGTGGGGTTAGCCTGGTGTTTTCTCAAAAACAGTAAAGCGTCCCCTTTCACTCTGCGCCTGAGCACCGCACACCTTTCAGACTCACGGCGCCCTTGACCCTCGGAGGCCGAGCTCTGGGCCCTGGAGTCACTAAAAGGGGTGTGTTGGATGTGAAAATACCTTTTAGGAGTATTTGCAAACCTACGGAGAACTATTTGGTCTTTATGTTCGGTACTCAGCTCCCTTCGTTATTCGTTTACGTTTGTATGCATAATTACACATTTTTAAAGCTGTAGGCTTGTTTTTCTTTAGGTTGAACTCCTATAATGGTGAGAATAAACTCATAATTTTGTTAGGAAAATTTGTGAAGATCCCCTGATTTCAATCTTAGTCCTCTAAAAACTTTGATTAAGAGGATTGAAATCACTATATTTAAAATAGTAATTTGTGAATTTCAGTTATCCATCTTTGCCTTGGATACTCAATCTAGCAGGATCGGAAAAAAAGTTATTTGGAAATGCGAGTAGTGTTTCTAAGAGTACATTGTTTTAGTAAGAGTATTCGCTTATTCCAGATAGTTTTTCCTGGTGAAGTATTACATACACGTGACTCAAAATCTGATTCGTGTTTAAAGTATTACCACAGGTTTCCTGATAGCTGGGTAGAGAGTGAAAAAACAGCTTCATGTGTAAAAATAATTGATTCTCTTTACTCTTTGCCTGAAACAACTCTGAACTCAATAGTAACTTCTTCCCGTTCGCTTTTTAATTTTATTTATTTTTATTTTTTAAAGATTTTTTTTCATTCGACGGAGAGAGACCAAGTGAGAGAGGGAACACAAGCAGGGGGAGCGGGAGAGGGAGAAACAGGCTCCCCACTGGCAGGGAGCCCCATGCGGCTTGATCCCAGGACTCTGGGATCATGCCCTTTTGAAGGCAGAGGCTTAAACAACTGAGCCACCCAAGGCACCCCTAGCTTTTTAATTTTAACATGAAAGTAGACCATAAGAAATTCTTCATGGAATTCTGGTAAGAGGTTTAGAGAACTGTCAAAATTAAAACTATACTTACAAATATAAAGATATATATATTTTAACATTTTTTTAGCGTTTACATACCACATTCCAAGAGTTTTAGATGTCATAGTTTTTCTTTTGTTTCTTTTTTTTAAAGATTTTATTTATTTGACAGAGAGAGACACAGCGAGAGAGGAAACACAAGCAGGAGGAGTGGGAGAGGGAGAAGCAGGCCTCCCGCCGAGCAGGGAGCTTGATGTGGGGCTCTGTCGACCTGAGCTGAAGGCAGACGCTTAACGACTGAGCCACCCAGGCACCCCATGTCATAGTTTTTCTTGAGGAAGGGAGATTAAAAAGTTTTTTTCGAGGATTACCACAGCAGAGGGCAGTAGAAAACAATGAGAAATTCCATGGACATTTTGTTGTTTTACTTCTTAGAAAGATCACTGTGGGGGCACTTGAGTGGCTCAGTCCTTTGAGCATCCCCCTCTTGATTTAGGTTTAGGTCAAGATCTCAGGGTCTAGAGATGAGCCCTGCCTTGGCAGTGCTCAGCAGGGAGTCTGCTTGAGATTCTCTCTGGCCCTCTCCCTCTACCCCTTCCCCCCACCTTCCATCTCGCTTTTGCAGTTCTGTCTCTAAAAATAAATCTTAAAAAAAAAGGGGGGGGGGAAGACCACTGTGATCACAGTAACTTTCACTTGGAAGAAAAACCCAAAAATCTGTAAAGTGTACCTCTTCAAAGCATCTTGGTATCCAGTTGTACACTACAGGTGAAAAGCCTTGTTAATTTAGCACAATTACAATTAACATCTGTTCCATTAACATATTTATAAAAGAAGTTTTAAATGAAAAATTGGAAGAAAATTGTTAAGGATTAGAAAAGGATGTTTTGGGGTGCCTGGGTGGCTCAGATGGTTAAGTGTCTGCCTTTCAGGCTCAGGTCATGATCCCAGAGTCCTGGGATCGAGCCCTACATTGGGCTCCTGGCTCAGCAGGGAGCCTGCTTCTCCCTCTCCCTCTGCCTCTCCCCCTGCTCATGCTCTCTCTCTGGTGCTCTCTCATCTGTTTCTCAAATGAATAAATAAAATCTAAAAAGAAAAGAAAAGAAAAGGATGTCTTCCAGAACTGCTTTTATTTCTCTTAAACGGGAGGGTCTAATACTACTATTTGGTGGTATTGCAGAATACATATGTTTAAGGAAAAGAAGAGCAAAATAACAAATAATTGAAGTTTTAATACTTCGCTCAATGAGTACACATATCTGGAATGTAGTATGTGAGAATAAACTCACATTACTTAAATTATACAAATTTATTTGTGAAGTTCAGAGCACCTGATTTCAATCTTTTTTTTTTTAAGATTTTATTTATTTATTTGACAGAGAGAGAGCGCACAAGTAGTCAGAGAGGCAGGCAGAGGCAGAGGGAGAAGCAGGCTCCCCGCTGAGCAGAGAGCCCAACATGGGGCTCCATCCCAGGACCCTGAGATCATGACCTGAGCCGAAGGCAGACATCTAACCGACTGAGCCACCCAGGTGCCCCACCTGATTTCAATCTTAGTCCTTAGTAACTTGGAGGGCTGTGGTGTTTTTCAATGCTAGAAGAAATACATTCTTTATTAGAAATAATGGAAAGTGGTTGGTTATCATTGTGGTACTTTTCTAGGGGTATTCCAGGGTTGTTTTGAACATGTCACTTCGTTCTTTGCTGAATTTAGACACCACTGAATCAGCAAGTATAGCAGTTGGAACTTAGTTTACTACAATAAATATTACTGGTGTAAGTGCTAGAGGAGTTGACTTGGCATGAGTAGTATATCCCTTCATACTGGGGAGGCCAAATTGACGTCGAAAGTTAAACCTGGAACCAAGAATGGACTTTAGTTGCTTTTAAGGAAGTAATAGTTATGATAATAATAGCTACCACCATAGGTTTTTGAGTCAGACAGATGGTCCATTTACAACTCAGTCACTATCTAATTGTATGACATCAGGAAAACCACTTAACTTCCCTGAATTTTAACTTCTTTGTTTTAAAACACAGATATAATACCTACATCTCAGGGTTGTCACTGGGATTGAATAAGACTGTATATAAACTACTTAGTGCAGTGCCTTGAACATAACAGATGAACAATACTGGTAGCTATTATTATGTGTTCTTCATTTAATGAGAGCATTGGATATGATGAAATCCTAAAATGTGATAAAATATTTTAAAATTTTTTTGCTAAAGTGATTTTATCGTAATTGTAAAATATATAGTTATTAGAATAAATTGCCTTATTTTATTATGAAACACAGAGAGTTCCAAACTCTTACATTGTTTGAGAACTTCCCCGGAGATTTTGCAACATGGAAGAATTGGTAGTATTCATGAGTGTGTGTGTGTGTCTGTCCACATATAAGTTTTTGTATCTGTTTCTTCATGAAGACATTTAATTCATTAAAAAATAATTTTGTTATATTCTCTAAGAATATAGTGAATAGCAATAGATGAGTGAATAGGCAAAGAAGATTGGAGATTTTTATAGTCACTTTCCTTAATTACATGGAATATAGTCGTTAAACTAATTTTTGAATCCTCATGTAAAGTGATATGAATTTGTGGGAGACTGTAGTTTCTTGGTAGTATATCATTTGCATATTTAGTGCATCATTTTCTTTTTATTTTAATGGCTTCTCTATTTTCTACATTGTTAACACTTAACCAGTTAATCAGCTTCATTTAGAATTGTTTTAATCTATAATAACACCTGATAATATAAAAGGAACTCAAAATCTGTAATTATTTTCAGTGGATTTATTGACTTTGACATTATCAAAAGAAGCTATTAAAATAATTTATCCTTTACGTTAGCTAATAGGCTATGACATGTAGGTAACAGTGAATATGCATTATGAAAATTTGAGCGGCTCATAAATATTTTTGCGAAGTAATATGATTGCCTAAATGAAATATCTCAATTGCTTCTGACAGAACTTCTGTATGTCATTAATGTTTTTAAGCACATTTTACACTGAAATTAACATATCCAGTTATTTTTTTAGTGGCATAACCATTAAATAGAGACTTGACTATCTTAGCAAATGAAAAAAAGGGAGAGGATGGAAGTAAGCAATGGATTTTATCTTTAAACGAAGAACTTAAGTTGAAAACAAAGTAAGTTTGTAAATATATGAGCACAACTTTAAGAAATGCATAGTAATTATGCATCGATATATATACACATAGACCACGGATTATGCCCATGCAGGTATTTCATCTAGGCTAGACTTTGTGTATAGGAACTGCTTGCTGAGTAATTGGAAGTGACAGGTCTTACTCAGAATGGCCAGAACGGCTTGTCAAGTACTGTGAAGGCTTAGCCCACTGTAGTTTCACAGATGATGGCAGAACGCCTGGAATTCCCTGGCCCCAGGTGGACGGGTTATCACTCAGCAGCTGCAGATTTGCCAGAGTATCAGCATTCATGCTGATGACACAGGCTAAATGACCCCTACAGGTGTGGGAAGTTTTGTAGCAGAAGAACCTTGAGCTTAAGGAGCTCAAATCTTTTATAATGGGCCGAAAGCTTGTTTGACCTTTGACCAGAGGGTGACATTTTCATTTTAGAAGGGACACTGTCTTCCAAGGCTTGTGTACTATATACATCCTTGAAAAGGTTTCCAGAACAAAGTCCGTTAGTACTTTGCTTGCAGAAGTATGTAGTTATGTAGAAATCTATGAAGAATTGTTTCCTTAAGTAAGAGATAGTAATTTTGTTGAAAGAGAATTTTGGAATATTTTCCTCCGTATACATGCACCAGCAGTATATTCAGTTCCATA